GGACAGAGATCCTACATGAGGAGTAAGTGCACAGTGACTCCTGTTGTTGACTTAACAATTTGACACTCTTGTTTATGGCATCAGTAATCTCCCTAGGATCTAGTCATGAGTTGCCAAGGCTATGGAAGCATTTTGAGTTCGCTGACTCTGATCTTATTTAAACGAGGTCATAGTCAAAGTGGAAGTTCTCTCCTCCCTTCAGAGAAAGGTACCTCCTTCTTTGATGGCCTGTTCTTTCCACTGGGATCTCACTCACAGAGACCTTTCATTTAGGTCCTCTTTTTTTTTTTTTTCCAGAGTGTCTTGGCTTTCCGTGCATAAAATACTCATGGGCTCTTCAGCCATATCTGAATGCCTTAAGGGCTGATTCTGAGGCCAGCGTGCTGTTTAGGACATCTGCCATTCTATGAGTCTGCTGTGTATTAAGTAGAACAAAAAAATACTAAAAGGGATAAAGTATTAAATTGTGCATCAACAGTCAGGACAAGAGCTGATCAAGTCACTGTTTCTCATAGTGTCCATTTCACTTCAACAGGTTTCCTTCCTGGTGCTTGGTTAGTTGTCACTGATCAGGGAGAACATATGATATTTGTCCCTTTGGGACTATTGAAGTGTTGTTATATTTCTTTTGGGAGGTCATATCACCTTCCTTCTTCTTGCTTTTTGAATGCTTGCATTTAATTTTAGGCATCTCTGGAGATTCTTGCTGTTTTATTCTTCTGATGTCTTTTACCTTTGAACTATGCCTCTGGAGTTTAATGAAATGCCTACTCTTTCAGTGAATACCTAGAGGTCTGTGCTGGGTGTGGCCAGAGAGCTCTACACAGTTCCCTAGGGTGGGGTGTATATCCGGGGTGACACCCATGTTGGGCATGTTAGATATGCTTTTTTTTTTTTTTGGCAGGCAGAGTGGACAGTGAGAGAGAGAGAGAGAGAGACAGAGAGAAAGGTCTTCCTTTGCCGTTGGTTCAACCTCCAATGGCCGCCACGGCTGGCACGCTGCAGCCAGTGCACCGCACTGATCCGAAGGCAGGAGCCAGGTGCTTTTCCTGGTCTCCCACAAGGTGCAGGGCCCAAGCATTTGGGCCATCCTCCACTGTACTCCCTGCCCACAGCAGAGAGCTGGCCTGGAAGAGGGGCAACCGGGACACAATCCGGCGCCCCGACCGGGACTAGAACCCGGTGTGCCGGCGCCGCAAGGCAGAGGATTAGCCTAGTGAGCCGCGACGCCAGCCCTTTTTTTTTTTTTTTTTTTTTTTGGACAGGCAGAGTGGACTGTGAGAGAGAGAGATAGAAGATATGCTCTTGTTAACAGAAGGTGTGTATATGATCACCTCTGTTGGTATAATCACACCCTCACCTCCACTCTTCCAAGGTGATCAATGCCGGGGTTAGCTCTCAGTGGGGACAATGCTCATCCATGCTTCCACATGAAGTGCACAAAGCATCTGGGCAGTCTTCAGTGTGAGCATGTGAGCACTGCAATGACCCATTCCAGGCAATCAGGGAGCTCTGAGCATGTGGTGATGTACACAGTAATTGCCCAGAGACCCAACTACACCCTGGGTCCTCTCATGCAGTCAGAGCTCCCACAGTCTCAACACACAGCGCCCCTACAATCATGGGATACAGAGGATTCACTCTACCCCCTCTGCTTGTTCCATCCTTTGGGAGGCTGACATTCCCAGAACCAGCTGTCTGTGGGTTCTCCACCTTGGTGATTTGAGCTCAGAGTCTGTGATAAGTTGAGAGGCTGGGGGCACCTCACAGTCATGCTTGGCAGCCCAGCCCCTTCTCAATCCACCCAGTCAGACTTAAAGTGAGTGCAGAATGTAGAGTTTTCCCTTTGGTAAAGTCCCTGGATCACAATAACTGCTGACCACAGCCTTACACAATCATGCCTCCTCCTTGTGATTGTCAGGCATGTAGAAGAGTCTCTGTAGCCAATACTAACGTCAGAATGGCTCCTTCTTGTCAGCCATTGTTGGGTGCACTTACCTGAGCTGCTGGTTGTGCCTCTTGTCCCTGCTAGTTGCTGGTGTGTGCACAAGAGCTACCACAGCTGCTACATACTTATGTCCAAAATGGCACCAACCCTCTCTCAGCTGGCTCCCAGGCACTGTTGTGGAGGGAAGAAAGCTGAGAGAAAAATGCCAATTTTCTTCAATGAGTTAATGGGCACCCTGTTCCCTTCAGGGCTCCAGAAAAGTCTCAAAGACTGTGTAGTCCACTAGGCTCTCCCTGCAGCCATATCACCAGTGGCATGGACCACTTCAGTCTAATCTTTCCTTGCTCTCCAAAACTGGCACCTTCTCTTGTTCTGGGATGCAGGGGTCATGTGCTTTGTCCTTGATCACTGCTGAACATCTACACGTCTACACCTTCCACACAGATCCACAGCATCTCTCCTCTTTCTGCAGAATATTCCCTGCAGTTTTCCCTCAAACTCTCCCCTGAGAATGCACTTTTTCCAATTTTTTTGCTACTATTTTCCCCTAGGCTAGAGCAGTCCACCCTTTCCCTATTCAACGATCTTGGAATCCACCTTAAAGCAATCTTTAAAAATAAAAGCAAAGATGAAGGCATCACCATAACAGATTTCAAGATGTATTACAAGGTAATTATAATGAAAACAGAATTGTAATGGCACAAAAATAAACATGAGGACCAATGGAGCAGAAACCCCAGAAATTAATTTACAAACATACAACTAATTTATTTTGGCAAATGTGCTAAAATCATTCCCTGGAAAAAGGACAATCTCTTCTACAAATGATTTTTGGCAAATTAGATCTCTGCAGTCAGATGTATCAAACAAAACCTTACACCTATTCCAAAATCAAGTCACAGTGGATCAACAATCTAAACCTAAGACCTGAAACCATCAATTACTAGAGGAAGCATAGGGGAAACACTGAAAGAATTAGCATAGGCAAAGACTTCTTGGATAAGATCTAAGAAGCACAGCCAGTAGAAGCAAAAATACTTAAATGGGATAACATCAAACTAAGAAACTTCTGCACATCAAAGGAAACAATCAACAAAGTTAAGAGGAAACCGCAAATTGGGAAAAAATATTTGCAAACTATGCATCTGATAAGATTAATATCCAGAAAGAAGGAGCTCAAGAAACTCAACAATAATAACCAAACATTCCAGTTAAGAATTGGGCAAAGTACGTAGACAGGCACTTTTCAGAGGATGAAATACAAATATCCAATAGACATGTGAAAAAATGGTCATGACCATTAGCCATCAGGAAAATGCAAATAAAAACCACAATGAGATTTCATTCCAACCCAGTTAGAATGCCTATAATCCAAAAATTAAAAAAAAATGCTAATAAGGATGTGTGGAAAAAAGTACCCGAATACACTTTTGATGGGAATGTAATCTAGAGCAGCCATTATGGAGGACAATATGGAGGTTTCTCTGAAATCTGAAAATAGATCTATCATAGGATCCGGTCATCCCACTCCTGGAAATCTACCCAAAAGAAATGAAGTCAGCATATGAAATAGTTGTCTGTGTACCCTATGTTTATACCAGTTCAATTCATAACAGCTAAAATATGAAATCAACCCAGATGTCCATCAACTGATGACTTGGTAAAGAAAACGTAGTTTGTATACACAATGAAATGCTACTCATCCATAAAAAATGAAATCCTGTATTTTTCAACAAAATGGATGCAATGTAAACCATTTTGCTTAGTGAAATAAGCCAAATGGCATGTTTTCTCTGATTTATGGTAGCTAATATATACATCACAAAAATACTAAATGTATAAGAGTGTAACTAGCATCCTATAATTTTGTTATTGCTTATGTACCATCTATTTACTGTGAAAAAGTGGTGTTTCTCCTTTTTACTTGTTGAACACTATATTTAGTTGAATATTAAGCCTGCAGTTATAAAATAAATTGAAAGTATATTATTGCACTTTGACTACAACCTTGTCTAAATATGATCAGAGTTGGTGAACTCAAAAGGCTTCCATAGCCTTGGCAACTCATGACAAAAGCCTAGAGTGATTACTGAGGCCATAAACAAGAGTGTCAATTTGTTAAGTCAACAACAGGAGTCACTGTGCACTTACTCCTCATGTAGGATCTCTGTCCTTAATGTGCTGTACATTGTGATTCAATGCTATAACTAGTACTCAAACAGTATTTTTCACTTTGTGTTGCAGTGTGGGTGCAAACTGTTGAAATCTTTGCTTAATGTATGCTAAACTGA